TTTTTACTGGGGGCATTTAGACTACTGATTTTTAGAGTTATCAATGCACAGAATTCATTATTGCCATTATTTCTCTGTGGTAGATTGTGTCCCCTCCCCATTTTGACTTACTAATCTGAGATGACTTATTTTTTTTTTCTTGAGTGTTTTTAACCTCTTCAATTTTCCTCCTTCTAGTATCTTCTGTAGAGCTGGGCTTGTAGATCTTGGTGGACTATCTTTCTCCATCTATTGGCATTAAAATTTTTGCTATGTGTAGTATTCTTAGACTGCATCTATCGTGACAAGGACTGAAAGTTGAATGTGGTAACTTCATTTTTGTAACTTGGATAAACTTTGTGTTGCTTACTAAAATGCAAGGGGGAAATATAAGGAGGAGGAAATGAAGAAATGAAATTCTGGGAAAATAAAAACAAAAAACACAAAGATCTGAGCTCTTAGCAGTCATCATCACCCTTACCTCATTATTATTGCTATTTGCATATTTTGGCTTCTATAACTATTTACTTATCTTGCAGATGCAGGAAGGATGTTTAGGATGTGATTTCCATGTTTAAATATGAATCCTGGGAAAGGAATGGGCTGCACTTGAGTCCCAAACACCCAATTAGCTCTTTGACTGTGTCTGAGTGGTCATCTCTGGTAGCAGTCCCACAATACTGTGGTAGATTAGAGTTTGTAAAAACATCTGCCCTTGCCCTTCTGTCTTTTAGAGACCCATTGAATAATCAAGTGTTATACTAATATGCCTGCCTTTATAGGTTATTTTTTTCTTTTTTCTTAACAGTTTTTAATATTCTTTCTTTGTTCTGTGTGTTTAGAATTTTAGTTATTATGTATCATGGGGAATTTCTTTTCTTGTTCCAGTCTATTTGGTATTCTATATAATCCTTGAAATTTGATAGGAAACTCCCTCTAAAGGTTGGGTAAATTTTATTTTATGATTTTGTTAAAAGTGTTTCTGTGCCTTTGTCCTGGGTTTCTTTTTTATCTTGGTGCATCATTTTTTTTGTTCCTATTATTTGAGAATTTGGTCTTTTCATTATTATCTCAGTTTTACTTAATTCGTTGTGCCTAGATTGTTTCTAGAATTAACATTTTTTTTGACTGAGGTATCCATTTCTTCTATATTGTCTTCAATGCCTAAGATTCTCTTTTCCATCTCTTTTCTCTGTTGGTAAGTTCTGCCTCTGATTTTTCAGTTCAAATTCTTAAATTTTTCATTTCCAGCTATACCTAAGTATAGGTTTTCTTTAGTTTTACCTTCTACTTTCCACATTTCTACTTTCACTTCTTGAACAGTTTTCTTCACTTCTTTTCATTGTTTTTTTTCATAAATTTCACTGATAGATATATTCATATTGTCTGAAAGATGTTAGATTTCATTTATAATAGCTATTTTAAAGTACTTATCTTGTGCTTCAGCTATATTTTATTTCTTGGAACCTAATCTGTGAGCTCTGTTGGACTCTAGTAGAGACACTTTGTGCTGACTGTTATTGACTTTGTGTTTATGCTGGTGTCTAAGACCATGGGTTTGTGATGATTGTAATTCTAGGTGTTAATATCTGGTCTTATCTTTCTTTGATGGTTTTCCTTGGTTTCTGTTGCCCTTTCTGGATGTTAGGAGACTGTGGTGTTTTTGCGTCACGTAGTAGGAAGTGCTTCTGTGTCACTGCCAAGTGTGGCCACTTGGGGTCCAGTGTAAAAAGTATTTCTATGTATCAGAAGATGACATGAAGGAATGAAATAGAGCCAGAAAGTTTGGGAATGAGAGGATCCACCGGAGGGAGAAATGCTGGGTTATGACAAGATAATCTGTGGATTCCCCATTGGAATGGAGGAAGAGAATAAAGGCAGGCCCATGCAGGTCATCTGCTAGAGGGAAGGGGATGACAATGGGGAATTACATTTGGAGAACAAAAAGTAGAGTGCAGATTGTCTGTCTGATACCCTGGCTGAGGTAGCCATTGGGTTTCCAGGGAGAGAGTGCCTCAGGTATTGGTGACTGAGACAAAGGGATAGGATGAGAAAAGAAGGCTGTAGGAGAATGTGTATGTGGTCTTCTGGGAATTGGGACAGGGAAGAAGAAGAAGAAGCAATATCAGGTGGCCTGTAGCAAAGCTGTTGGTTAGATAGGGAATTGGAATTGAAGGATGGGAAAGAGTGAAGATCATTCATCTGATTCTCTAGTCTGTGTGGCCAGAGATTTCCAGGGAGAGAGCTCCTCAGGAGTTTATGGCTGAGACAATGGAAAGGAGATCAAGTTGTGAATTCATGCAAGAAAATAAATATTTGATGTACTTGCAATAAAAGGAATATTGATAAATTTCATTCAATATTCCTAACTTTCAGAGTTTAAATAGAATAGAATGAATGATATTCCTGCATAATAATAAAGTGATGTAGTTCTGGTTTATTAAAACTCAATAAAATATTCTGAAAACTCAGAAGACAGAGATAAACACAGACCTGGGAGAAATATCACTTACCTGGACAGTTGTGAAATTCTGGGAAATATTTTATCTATGTCTCCAAAGAAACTAATGCTACATTTTCAAATACACATGGTGATACATGTGTATATTTTTCACATAATGACAATAGGAACTGAACAGGGGAAAGACAATCAAATGTTCTCACAGCCTGTGCTTCCTATTGGAATACCCTTGGCCATGGTATGTGATATTCTGACATGCTTCAGAGTTTAAGGAAGATATTTCTAAATCAGGATCTTTAGCATCTAATAAAGCATATTTTCCTATCTCTGACAAAAATAACACTATGATGTGTCTGTTCACATCAACACAACCATAAATGACAGGGAAACGACTTGATTTGCAATTAAGTCTGAAGCCTGACATGACTTAAATTACTATTTAATATAAATTCATATATATTTATACAATATATAATTCTACAAATTATAATTTTTATCATTTACAAAGTATATAATATAATAATGAAATATATATATATATATATATATCTTGGGTTTATAGACATCCCAACAGACTATTATGTGCCATTGTATGCACTTCTTTGTTCTTTCTTCTCACAGAGAAAATGAACTTATCATTTCTGAAGTATAGCCTGTGAGCTCCATGGAAGGAGGTTTTCAATTAGCCTTTACTAAGAGAATAAGTAATAAGTAATAAGAATGGTAAGTTAGCTCTTGTATTTGAATTGCTGTAGAAATCTATTATGAATAAAGCTTTGTTTGTAATTAATTGTGCCTATAATGTTAAAAAAGTATAATTAACTCAGTAGTTAAAACTCTTTGTGCTAAGGCACAAATAAAGTTACAGAGTTATTTGGACTGGCCAAATTTTTTTTTTTTTTTTTTT